GATGCTTGTTCCTCAATTTGATATAGAGTACGGATATTAAATGCTGTAATGTGGATCAGATCTTTTGAGGTTAGTGAGTGATTATTTTGGTCTATTTTTCTGGGCGACGGTTGAGACACAGAACAGTGGCTAGGGGAGTGGCAGATGGATTGATTGCGCTGCATTGTACAATTGGCGGGGATGGAGTTGGGAGAAGGAAGGTGAGCGAGGAGCTGTAAGAGCAACTGACACTTCGCGGCTGCCCAGGCCGGGGGAGGGGGTTTGGTTGAGGTACCCTACCTTGAGCCTCTGACTCAAGAGTCTGGACCGCGAGACAGCGGTTGTTAGGGCTTGCTTTGGGGACCCCTCCCAGAACCAGTGGCTCAATAGTCTGACCCACTTGGCTGTAGGGGGCCATTCTGGCCCTAGGGCGCAGGGAGTAGGGCATTACTGTCTCAGCCCTAGTGCAGCTGCGCACAGCAGGTACCTTTTGAGCAGCACCGGACTCTGGGTTTAAAAGTATTTCGACCATACTGAATAATGCACCGGCGGTCACGGCCACCCCTTTTGGACGATCGGAGTATGCGATTTTTTGGACCGGTCTTTTCTAACCCGTCCGTCACGAAGAGACTGGGCCTTAGCCTGGTGTGGCGATTTGTTTGGCTCGGCGACCCATTGAGCTATACTGAGGGGTGTCTGCGCGACACACAAAGTCTGTCATACTAGGTTGGTCAATAGGTAGGGGTCATCACGGTCATCATCAGTGACATCAGTGTTCAACACCGATGTTTCGCTGCCGTATGGGTAGGGGTCTGACGAACACAGCCTCCTGGCTATCCAGGTTGGGGGTTGGAATATGTGTGGTGACTTGTTCCGTAAAATGGTAATATACTTGCATTTCCGGCCCAACACCGCTGCCTTTCGGTTAGGCTTTTGAGCCCAAGGCTATGGTTGAGGACTCTAATCGTCCTCCTGTCTAGATGTGGGCGACCTGGCAGTATTCCAGCTGTCGTACACCTATGACATTTACAGTTATCAATCCAACATTGATGATATTTCAACTCGTTCTTCCTCAGGGGAAAACAGCACCGCTGCTTTCACCAATATGAACATGGTGGTCGCCTGGGGGAAACGCCTTACTGCCCTCATACTCCTATCGCAGAGGGCAGTACGACTTCACCTCCTGAGCACCTCGCAGTACGATTACTAGCAGCACGGGGACTTGCTGTTCTTCATTGGACTGCTCCCCACTGGCCTTCTTGACATGGTCGAACTTTCGGAACTGAGTTCCAGCCGACTTATCTCGCAGGATCATTGCAGCACAGAAGCCCGACCACCAAGAAAACGTGACAGCTTTAGGTCAGGTGAAATCACATCTTGGGATAGCTAATGTATTTAGATTATGCCGACAAAATCGCCTTGTTATTAAGCGATCAATTATCTCTTCAAGCGAGATCGCTCAGTTGTAAGCGCTAATTTACTGACCTATGCAGCTGGACTTCTCCTGTCTAAGCTTGGGTCACCTAGCAATATCCCAGCCCTTTTGCTTCCTTCGGGTGGCATGAAAGGATGCTACATCTGGACGACTAACAACTCTGAGCGGAGTATCGGAGCTGTCTTTGGTGTGCGTCTTTCACCTATAGACTGCAAAGCACTCAGGATTTCCGATTCCATCATCCTCTATGAAATTTCGTAGAGTTTGTTAGTCCATATATTTTGACAGCCCCGTAGACTGTGATTAGAACCTACCAGATGAATTTACTGTGCGATTGACTGAGGTCTGAGAAGCGTTCGTCACTCTGTGTGATTCATCGAATAAGAAAGGAACTTAGCTAAATCGACCGTAACGGTGGTCGCACTTTGTGCTTGTGTAAGTCGCCCTCCATTTCGAGGATCGTCGGATGTGTGGTTACAGATATCTCCATGGTATATCACCTGTATAGCACCTGCAGTTGTTCAAATCAAGTTACAAGTCGATCGCCAAGTTTGGCGAACAGACCGATGGCCACCTGATCAACAATTAATAAAATGACAGTTGTAGAGCTTGGTGTTCACGACTGTGCCACTTACCAGTGCTGGTGATCCTGCGTCGGATGATACCATGAGCCACGTAGAAGCCATTGTGACCCAACCGATACTCGGATGTGATTCTCACGCTCAGATCTAACATCTTTTTTGAAAACAAGTTCAGCATCGGATATTTGGCATTCCTGTTACACTTCCAAGTGCCCTGCGTGAGTTTTGTCAGATTGAATGAGCATTCCTCCACCCCGAAACGAGGAGAGGCAAGACATCTGGGACATTGCTTTGTTTATGTTTAGAAGATTTATTTATTGGGGCGCGATGCCCCAAGTGGTTAGGGCGCGAATTTACTGACGGAAGTTCCGTGGTTCGAACCCGACCCCTGCCACTTGATTTCCCCTGTCTAGGCCTGGGTGACCTGGCAGTATCCCAGCCCTCGTGCTTCCTCCGGGTGGCATAGCAGCTAGGCACTGGAAGGATGTTACAGCTGAACAATTATTATAATATTATTATTAGATTTATTTACTTCTTGAGCTCATCCTCTATTAAGATCGAGCAGTTCACATCCCGTTATAATGTTGTTCCTGCCTCTAAAATTGAAATGGGTACTTCAGACCAGCTAAATGTCTCTCCATAGTCCGCTCACCAAAGCAGGCGATATTCAAGACTCATGCAGCGGCCCACCATGTAAGGGCCGCGGCGTTTAGGTCTGGGAGGTAATTTAGGATCCTAAAACACATCTTGGGACCAAAACGTCTTACTGCTATACAGCAGTAGTGGGATGAGGATTACACTAATTGGAGTTTTGAGGAATGTCTGTCGTCTTTATTCCAACCACGCGTTTGAAGAGCGTGCACTCTACGTACGTTTGACCACTATTGGCTAATCAGCTTGGTGTGCGGCTCAGCGTGTCCCAAAGACCCTCGAAAGTGGATCTCACTCGACTGCTTAGCGGCGCAAGCCTTCACACTATGGTAATATTTAGTATCGTCATATTGGCATTTTCAATTTAGCTTGGGCGAGATGGCCCAAGTGGTTATATCGCGAATTTACTGACCGGAAGGTCCTTGGTTCGAATCCGACCTCCGCCTCTCGACTTCCCCTGTCTAGGCTTGGGCAACCTGACAGTATCCCAGCCCTCATGCTTCCTTCGGGTGGCATGGCAGCTAAGCACCGGAAGGGTGCTACAGCTGAACGCTTTCTTTTTTCTTTCAAGTTTAGTTTTGACCGGTCAGTGCAAATGATAATTTTCTTCTGGCTTTCAGTTTCAAAGATGGCCACTATGGCGGAATTTATTCAGCAGTCGGAGGCCAATGACGGCATCCGCTTCTCCTGGAATGCTTGGCCCATATCCCGACTGGAATCGGCGCAGTGTGTGATACCCATTGCTTGTTTGTACACATTATTCAAGGAGCGATATGACCTACCGCCAGTGGTTTATGAACCTGTGGCCTGCAGCCGTTGTCGTGGAATTCTCAATCCGTACTGCCCGGTAAGTTTTCCACACAGTTACGCACTGGTCACTTGTTTGAGTACTCAGACAAGTAAATATCTAGAATAGGTGTTTTCAAATAGGCGTTTTTTTTTCACCGGGGATCCAATTTTTAGAATCCTAAATCCCCATTACCTGCCCCAGAAAAGACATTTTCGATCAGTCTCTCCAGAAATGGACCACTCCTCTTTCAGATTAGAAGTGTCGTAATAAATTCTGTCTGTCTACCAACCTAAAACGATCTTTGAACATATTTCAACCGATATAACGAACCTCCGTATGTGATCGGGACTCCTACGAGCACTAGATGTCAGCTTGTGCTTTGCCTGTGTTTCAGCTTAAAGATAGCTCGGAAGTGAGTGAACTGAGTACACTAAAAGTTTGATCCTTCTCAGACTACGATTCAGGTCTATGGTGTTATGTTTAACAGATGATGTTGTCCCCAAATATTCAAATACCCCCCAAGAATACATACTGTTTTGGCAATGCTTTTTCCTCCACTGCAACTTGCCCGAGGAAGCGACCCAAACAGGTAGCAGTAAAGATAACTCCCAGAAAGATTAGCCGCACGAGACCTTTTGCTCATATTCAAGCCATCGACTGCAATTAGATGGAATTGGTCACGTGAATATCTGGCCAACAGTATCACACTGTTGACCGCAAGACTCCGCATCCTCTGATCATTGTTTTGGAAACTGGCAACCAATGAGTTATGACCAGAGGTCTGAGGGTAGTGCCTTTTCTTATTTGTCTAGAATGAATCAAGAGGTTAGCTGGATCATGACACCTTGGGCTTCTGACGAAACCTCACCTACAAGGCGGGCAGTGGGGAACATAAAGTTTTTACTGACCCTCCTCACACATGAATCTCGAGGATTTGGCTGGTGGCGTATTTTGGGAAAAGGCTGCTCAGGGCCAGGTACTCAGTGGTTCAACCCGCATAGGTTATTGTGGGATATTCCTAGGGGCTACGAGCTTTTTGACCCTTTTGGTTGTGGTCGACTTTTGGGAAGCTGGAGCTTGCGAACTTTAGGGTTAGTTTTAATTAACATCATGCTTGTTCTCACAAATATGGACATGTTGGCTACCTGGAAGGAACAGCTTACTGTCTCTGCGCTGTCACAACAGGATGACACTACCTGCCCCCTCCCCTGGACTTACTTTACTTCACTACCTTCCGCCTAACTGCTGTTGTTTAATCCTTATGGTGCCGTTGAAACTCGGGAACCAGAATACAGACTGTAAGTTCATTGCCACTTATATTTGACTATGAAGAAGTTCTTATGGCCAGGAAGTCAGATAGGCTTATCACTATTGGATAATCAGGTTGCTTATCCAATATAGTCACTGGTCTCCGGGTTGGATCTGATGATATCCAACTCATAGGATTGGTGGACACCCGACCAATCGATGGGAGCATTCCTGGTTCGGTTCCAGTCTTACACTCAAACGGTAAGGCTCCCAGTACTGCAAGGAGAGGGAGCTGGACCATGTGTTACGCTTGTCGAATTGCCGCCTAACAGGTCAAACACTGTTTTTATGTTCGACTCAGTGGTGGAAACCTAGAGGTGGGCGAAATTTGAAGTACAAGGGGGGAATGAAGGATGTTAGGAAAAGTCTGGGCGCTGTTGGTGCTGTTCGTCTCCCAGAATGGGGTCCACGTCAGCCTTTCTATGGTTGATGGAGACACTAAACAGTATGGCGACTAATCGTTGTCAGTGGCATTTATGCCGTCGGTTTCTATCCAGATTATCTGACTGAGTGCTGAAGGTGTACTCGCTTCCGATCTCTGTGGTAGGCTAGCCTCTGGCTCCCCTGCTCCATTTTCTCTTTCCATTGTCAGAATTTATCCAATTAGATTAAATTATTCAATTTAATTGGCTTAAGTGGTCGGAGCGCGAATTTACTGACCGAAAGGCCCGTGGTTCGAACCCGACCTCTGCCTCTCGACTTCCCCTGTCTAGGCTTGGGCAACCTGGCTATATCCCAGCCCTCGTGCTGGGAGATAATGTGAGATAATGAAGTATAAATGTGTGTGCCTCCGTCACCTCATCTTATGATGTAAATGACTACGTTTACACCCTCTCCCTCTTTTCATGTAGTACGATATTCGTAGTCGAGTTTGGAGTTGTTGCTTATGTGGAACGCGAAACAACTTCCCTCCTCAATACGCTGGCATGACAGAACAGCGACCGCCCGCCGAACTGGTGCCCCAGTTCACCACCTTGGAATACACCATCCCGGTGGGTTATTTCGTTTTTAACTATTGAGGCGCGTTTTTCCGGTAAACTTTTTGTCAATTTCTTCATTTTGGATACTCTTTGTCTTTTCCGAGCAAGCTATTTGGCACTAATTAAACTGTCGTTTGCCGAAGGCGTGCTTTAACTAGTCAGGATGTCTGTCCGTCAATCTGAATCGGGCGTTTATAGCTCGACGGAGCCCAACACCGAAGGCGTGCTTTAACTAGTCAGGATGTCTGTCAATCTGAATCCGGCGTTTATAGCTCGACGTTTCTGAGCCCAACACGAAGACTTCCGTGCAATTTTGTGGATAATTCTATAGGTTGTTTTACGGATGAAAGTGTGGTAACCTCTCTTCATCCCATCACCTACTGTCGTCAACAACTTTGTGTTCTAATAAACGCAAATAAGTGAACAGTATACCACGTACCATATAGGAGTTGCCTAACCAAAAGAGGTAGACGTTTCATCAAGCTCGTAGACCGCTTGTTTTGCATAGGAATTTGAGCGAAAAGTTTGTTTCAGAGTGTTTCCGAGGGCATTTGGAAAGCTGGTAGCACTTGTTTTTCAAATCTTTGTGAACTTAGATAATACCAGACGGGGTGTAGTTTTCATCTACTCACCGTATGGCATGTCTTGTCCAGTTGTTCCCACAAATCCAGGACACCAAGAGTAGGGGGACTTCTCGGTGATGACCTATCTCAGAGAATTTCCAGCTAAACTATCTGTAAATGAGAACTCTTAAGATTAGGGATATCTCCTAGGTGGGGTCTGTAGTAACGGGATTTTTCTCAGCTTAGTTCTTGGTCGGATCCTCCCAGGCTAGCGTCAAAACAATCGCCAAAGGTGCACAAGGTATATTAACGCCCAAAACGAAGTCAAGGACACCTGTACAGCGCTGGTGGCAACGACTTCCTGGAAATTCTTACGCGTTCTGGATGCGACATTGGCAACCAGCATTCGGCCAATACTGGGTCATGATTGGCTTTCGACCAATCAAATCTCGGCTTAATGCTGGACCGGCAAGCGTCCCAAATTTTTGGCCATTCTTGCTTAGGATGGGCTTCTCGGCCGTAGCAGCACGTGACTGCGAGCGGGATCCGTGCGGATTTCCACTTAACGGGGTCTCTGTTGGATGCAAATGGTGAACCGAATCTGCGATCCTCATGACCGCCAGTACACATACTCTCACAACCAACAGACGAGTATGCGCTCCGAAAAGTAACCTGAAAGTGTTGCGAATCCACATTTTTCGTGCATGTGATTTAACCATACTTCCAGAATGGTAGACTGTTTGATACATTGTTCCGTGGTCGACCCATTGCGTAACATGTGTTTGCGAATCGGTTTTATTGGCGTTGCTCCCAACTTTGCCCATCCATCTGATTGTTTGGGTTTGGCGCGCCTCCTTGGGTTGGCAGCTATCTGCCTTAAGTTTTTTGTTATATCTTTTGTGGTTGCATTACCGCATTTAGCTGCACGCCTAGTTTCACATGTTTCGATACACGTTGAATTTGTATTCACCTCACTTGTTTGAACTCTCCCGTTCTGACGCGCTTATTCTGGTTAGTCCACACCGAAATAGGGGAATACTGGACTCAAGTGTCGTTCTTACTAGTGCACATGGTTAGTGCTTTTCACCCTTGACCGTCTTGGGCTTCGAACCATGGAAGACGACGTGCGAGGCGAGTTCTCTGGACGCACCCAAAGTGTCACGTCTGAACGGGCGGACGTGTTTATTCTTGGGCGACCTGGTTGGTTGGTCTGGAACACCAACCTAATAGTTGTCCCGTTCTGTCTATGATGACATTTTGTGTCTGGCCGTGCGCGACTGGTTTTTCATCTAGGCTTTATCTTGACTACATTGGTCTATATATTACTCAAAAGCCTACCGCGAGCAGTACAGGTCTCAGCATGACTCCGGTGACTCACACAGGTTCTAATGTGATTTAGGGGTGAATCACTCTTTCGGGTACCATGAGCTACACCGTGGTTGCCGATTGTCCATCCATGAGCCCAAGTTTTCATGATTTCGCAGGCCAGAGTTGGTGGGTTTAATGGATAAATTGAAGGTGAGGTGTCGTTATTTCGTATCCGCCCATCGTTTTTGCTCTCATCAACGCGGTGCTCCATTGCGAATTAGCAATGCACACACTACCGTCACGTTGTTAATGTTTTTTCAACGATGTTTCCATTTCCCCTTCTTTTTTGTGTAGAAGGCTCCCGCTGTCCCGCCAATTTTTGTCTTTGTTGTTGACACGTACATCGAGGAACCGGAGTTTACACAACTGAAGGTATGTGTCCGTTCCACCATCTGTATTCCGTCCTGTTTCACTTGCATCGTCCACCTACTGCTGTGTTCCGTTTGCTTCTGTTCTGTGCGAGCATGCGTTGCAAATGAAGGGTCATTAAATACGGCGATTCCTTGATGTTTTACGTACTCACACCTGGTCTTTGAAGCGAAGACGAAAAGCTCCTCAGAGGTTTAAAAGCGTTCAGCTGTAGCACCCTTTCGGTGCCTAACTGCCATGCCACCAGAATGAAGCATGAGGGATACTGCCAAGTTGCCGAAGCCTAGACAGGGGAAGTCGAGAGGTAGAGGTCGGGTTCGAACCACGGACCTACAGGTCCTTAAATTCGGGCTCTTACCACTGAGCCATCTCGCCCCCTCCCCTCAGAGGTTTAGAGTGATTCCAGACCTCTACAGTTTACTGTCAGGTCTCAAGAACGATTAATTCGTCCAATTTCGACCGATTTCTCAAAGACCACACATAGGCTCAGTACTACTCACCTTGGTTACAAGATCCTGATCAGGTGGTCATTGGTTTGTTCGCTGAGCTGGTCAATTTGATTGCAATCGGGTGCAATCACCTCTTGTGACATTACCGACGCATGCCTCCTCTTTCGACCGTACCTCACTATTTGTGGATGTGTTTGTGTCCGGCAGCGAACCGCTCTGGATAACGGAACATGACGTTGATTGGATGGAAGTGTCCAGAACCGGTTACTTAAAGAAGGCATGCCCTGATTGGCCAGGATACTACCCACCCACAGCCGAACGCTTCTTAAATGATGGCGAGGATTCTAGTTGACTCTGTGAAAAGTCCCGTGCTAGGTCTATGGATACATTTGTAGCAACTTGCCTTTGTCTCCATGAGAAGCTGTCTCAAGCTACCGCGCCTTTTGATTTACCATAATGGGCGGAACATCAAGTCAGGGATCGACATAGGAGTTGCAATACCGTCTTTAGTACACAATCTCGGCATCTCGATTGCTCTCTCTAAACTTGAGCTACCTGGCCGTATCTCGGATTTTCCAAACCTATGCAGGAGTAGTCGAGATGCAGGGGGTCCTTTGGCTTCCTGCTCCGCCCACTATGGTATATCAAAAGACTCGGTAGCTCTACACAGCCCTTTATAGAGACAAAGGAAAATTATTACAACTGTATTTATGAGGTAGCCATAGAGTGTTCTACAAGGTCGTGCCTTGACGTTCGTGAGGAGGTGAGAAGCGTCGAGTTAGAAGTGCTCGAACCGGATTGGCTGGCATTCTGCCCAATCAGAGCATGCCTTCGTTTGGTCCGTGTCCTGCACCTGACACATCCGTCCAAATGATGTGATGTTCGATCATTAGGGACGGCTGGTCTCCGGACACATGACAATAGGCTCTTACGCTTCATTTTAGACAGCCGTTTTCATATGTTTCGCACATCGCTTCGTCAGACAAGTGAAGGGTAGCCGAGAAGTCCTATTCAGCTTTGGTAAATGGTGAATTTGTGAGGTCTCTGGTAGGTTTGGTGACCTACTCTTGGTCCAGCGACTGTGATGCCCGCTTTTGGACATCCTGCGTCACCTTGTAGGTTGCTCTTGCCAGTACGAAGAAGATTCAGTCATGAATGGCACTTCGGATACCACTTGTATGGTAATAAATAACAATCGTTCAGTTGTAATACCCTTTCGGTGCCTAACTGCCACGCCACCAGAAGGAAGCACAAAGGTTGAATATTACCAGATCTTCCAAACTAGACAGGAGTAGTCGAGATGCAGGAGGTGAGTTCGAAAAGCGAACCTTCTATTCGGTTAGTGCGTGCCTTAACAACAGCGGTTTCGGCTGCTCTTGTGTGAATCGTTCAACTGCAGCACCCTTTCGGCGCCCAACTGCTATTCCACCACAAGGAAGCACGAGGACTGAGTTACTGCCAGGTTGCCCAAGCATAGACAAGGGAAGTCAAGAGGCAGGGGTCGGGTTCGAACCACGGACCTTCCGGCAGTAAATTCGAGCTCTAAACACTTGGGCCATCTCGGCCGCTCGTTGTGTGAAACGTACACTATTAGAAAGTGCGTGTCTGCTAAGTATCGACCATGCCCCTTTTCTGTTGTAGAAGTTAGCCACAATAATGTGGCGTACTTTTTTTGCGAAGTACTGTACTCTTAAGATCGATTAATACTCTTCGACAGCCTACGACCTGTCTCGTCCTTCTTGGAGTTTATAAGTGCAGTCTCCTGGTTTCCGTCAATCATTTGTTCTACTCTAGCGCACATTGTGCGCAGTGGGTAAAGTGTACTGGTTGGTGTTAACAGGAAACTCAGCTGAATCTCTAATAGTATTTTTCAACCCCGGTACGCTGCACAAAAGCTATCCCACGTTTGAGTTGGTACAATATTCAGAGCAACCTTCATATGGCGCATTCAGTTGAAGAACGTCATAAACGGGACATTCAGCTGGGATCCAGCTGAGTCTCCTGTTCACACTAACTCAGTTTATTTATTTAGTTTATTTCTCCAAAAATAAGAGACTCGTTCTTTCCCGAATAACAGATCGCAGAATGTGTTCCGGTGCTTCTTATATGATGCCTCTCCTTGCATAGGTAGGTCTACGTGACCCTTCAACTCTTAGCCCGAGATTCTGTGAGTGTAGGTTCACACTGGACCATTCTTTTTTCTTCGCACGGCCATGATACTAATGGTGTTATTTTACTTACGAGGAAAATGCTGTCGGGCTATATGAAACTTGGGCTAGATTAATCCCGAAGTTCGGAACTCACTGAGGTTCTACGCCAAATCTGACCGGTTCATTTCCATATTCCTCAAGAGAATTTTACTGGTAGTGGATGCCCTACTGATAGTCAGCTGCAAAAAAGTATGCCTGATCTTAAAGATGCAACCTACTCTGTCGTCGAATGACGACAGCCCAGTTAGAGGTCACAACAACAGGATCTGGAGAAGTATCTTGACTTATCCTCGTCTATCAGAGTGAATAATACGTAGTCTTACGTTCGTTTCTCATATTTTATCGAACTTTCGTGTGCTGTTCGATGTTAACTCTGGACTTCGCCACACTCATCATCGCCTCATTCAGTTAGTTCGAGCTAAACCGGTTTTTACTCTAGGGTTACTGTTGATCCCTATGGGTACCTTGATACCATCTGCGTCAGCGGCCACATTCTGCACTGTTGTTTCTGTCCACTTGTTCCTGCACAGGAATCTTTGCAAATGTCTTTGAGCTTTCTACCTCCGAATGCTCTGGTTGGTTTGATTACATTCGGTAAAATGGTTCACGTGCATGAGCTCGAATCCGGACCTATCTCCAAGTCCTGGGTGTTCAAAGGAACCAAGGATTACACGGGAAGTCAAATTCAAGTGAGCACTTTACTTTTTCTGTCATCTTGCCATCATGAAACGAAAGAGCGCATTTGTTCTTCGTTTGTTCAGACTTCATCTTCTTACTCTCATCTCTGTGGCCTGTGTGCATCACATTTTTGTGTTACCTGTTGTTGGCTTCGTCTATCTGTCGTTGTGACTGCATCTTGACTGCTCCATCCATCCATCCATCCATCCATTCATCCATCCATTCATCCATCCATTCATCCATCCATCCATTCATCCATTCATTCATTTAACAACGGCCCCTGACACTGTGGTCCAGGTGAGGGGAAGTTGATGGGCGTTCTTTAAATATCGAGTATCCGTTGTTTCGACCTATTTCTGACTGATAATCACGCTACTCGGCCAAAACGCCGCCCTCCGCATAATCACAGGAAGCTAAAGTTACATCACGTTTAAGTAGTCGGCTTTACTTTTAAAATCCGCGGCTGGAAGGAGTGTCGGAGTTTTGTTTGCATTCGGAAGTCATTCTTCTTAAATGTGGACTCCATTGGTGCCCGGTCCTCAAGTCGTGAATAGCCCAACGATCTTGAGAAGTACTCACTAGCTAACCTGTCAAGACCAGTAATTGTAATTATTTAATGATAGCTCAGCTGTGGGAAGAACCTGGAGGAAGCCTGACAGCTGACAAAGCCAGTGGAGCAATGGGCCTTCTGGTCAGTGGCTTCGCTCCTTAAACCCCGAGCCCTCTCATGCTTTAAGGGGACAATAAGCCGCGGTTGTATGCGGCGTAGATGAACTCAGGGCCTATAGCCTATTTCCCATTAAGAATTCTGTAAGTGAATATACACTCATTTGCAAACTAATTTGGTTTTGCGAGAGACTCACCTGGAACCCAGCTGAATCGCTCGTTTGTGATGTTTCCAGACAACTGAATGTGCTGCACCAGGCCGCCTCATGTTTCAGTCGCTACGATATTCGAGATATCGCGATACATATATATTTTCGTACTCATAAGGTTGCTGATGATGAGCCCCAAAAAGGGCTCGTCTTGGGCTGTCAACGGATTTTCACCAACCTTCTATATACACTATTTTCAAGAGGGGACGGAAAACCGGACTGCCACGCTAGTAAGCTTTTCTCTGTATGAAAGCACGCCACGGAGCAAAACAGTTGCCTGGAAACATCGCAAACGAGAGATTCAGCTGGGTTCCAAGTGAGTCCCTCGGAAAACCAAATTAGTTTGCAAATAGGGGTAGTCCACTAATTTCGTGCAGTTCGGTTTCAAGTAGAATATAAGGTTGACGGAAACTCCGGGACTGCGCCTACCTGATGAGCCCGAACTGGAAGGGCGAAACCGGTTGTGGGCTGTCGAGAAGTTTTCAGCAACCTTATGAGTAGTGCATTACAAAAATTCTGTAAGTGGTCCGAGAATAACCCTGTAACATAATAACCGTTTTGGAAACCATAAAAACACCACTTTCGGATTTTTTCTTGCACCGTTCCATCCGTGAACACGTCGTACCCTGTTTCAGGTTATGCTTGGTGTTGGTCGCACGGCCTTGGCGTTGGTCGTACTGCTCCAGGTGCTCCGGGTGGTGGCCATTTTACTGGTCATCAGGCTCCTGGCGGTAAGCCTCCCGGAGCGGAACCATCACGTATGGTCACACAACTGCCCTATAATCGGTAGGTTTGTTTTTATCCGGATCTGCATTCTTCATTCGTTTGCTATCCATTTTGGGTGACTCTTGATACAACCTTTTGCTCAAACTTTACTGGTGATGGTAATGTACCAAACTTGCTGCCGAAATGTGCTCACGAGCTTATTCGCAACACGTACGTTATAGGTAACACGCGCCTTGAAATCCTGGTTTTACTTTTGAGTTCAACTGTAGTTCTTTTGACTGGCCGGGTAATCACTATGACGCCCGTCAATCAACCATAGTACAGGATCACCAATCCTGCTAACCTGTAGTTTCATCCCAAACATGTGTAAAGACCCGGGTTCTCTCTTCGTCGTTTCTTGCACACAAATAGCCCTATTTTGGGGCCTGAAATGTCACCTGACACAGCGCACCATGATGACCGGTTACCTACCTTTCAACGAGCTCGGTTTCCTCTGGTTTTGCCGCACGATTCCCTTTTTTGACCGACTTTGCGATGAGACACTCGTATAACTTGCTGTTTGGCTAATTCCGTCCACCCTCTCCACCAACCAGCTTTATCCAACCGATGGAGAAATGTGATGCAGTCCTTACCGACCTGATAAACGAGCTGCAACCCGACCCATGGCCTGTTCCTCAAGGCAAGCGACCACTACGCTCTGTCGGAACAGCTTTGAGCATCACTGTCGGCTTGTTGGAAGCCGCCTACCCGAACACTGGCGCACGTATCATGTTGTTCCTCGGTGGCCCGTGTACCCAAGGTCCAGGCATGGTGGTTGACGATGACGTGAAGAATGTGATCCGCTCACATCACGACATAGAGAAGGACAACTGCAAATACATGCGCAAGGCAATGAAGGTGGGAGTGTTTTTGTGTCTCCCATTTGTTTCATTCATCACTCACCGTTTTGTTGGGAGTCTCACTGTCACGTGACTAGCCGGATCCGCAAAACTATTGTTAGGTCGTGGCGACTACACACTCAAGAATGAACAACTCTCGGTTGACTTCTTCAGAAGGTGTTAACTTAATGGACATCTCTTCTTATCTTCTAGTTAAGTTTTGGATCGACCTTGTTTGTTCTGTCCATTTACGGGTAGGTGCTGTAATCAGGTGATTATTATTGAGCTTGAGATAGCTCACTGCCTGTCTAGGTTTGGAAGACCCCGAAATATCTCAACCGTCGTGCTTCCTTTGGGTGTCATGGTCGATGGGCACCGGAATAAGTGTTACGGCTGAACGATTATCAGTATTTTAATAGGCGAATAATGGATATTTTGAGGTGGGATTTGCTCCAGGTGAGATGCCACAATACTTCAGTTACTCTAGTGGAGTGTACTCCATTAAGCGAACTAATTTGGTTTTGCGAGAGACTCACCGGGAACCCACCTGAAACTCTCGTTTGTGATGTTTCCAGGCAACTGAATGTGCTGCACCAGGCCGCCTCATGTTTCAGTCGCTACGTTATTCGAGATATCGCGGTGCATGTATATTGGTAATTCACTACTCATGAGGTTGCTGAAAATTCGTCGACAGCCGACGACCGGTTTCGCCCTTCTTCTTCTTTCGAGTAGAACATAAGGTTGTCGGAAACTCGGGGACTGCGCCTACCTGATGAGCCCCCAAGAACGGGGAAACCGGTCATGGGCTGTCGACGAATTTTCAGCAATCTTATGAGTAGTGCATGACGAATGTACTCCATTTAAACTGTACGCACTTCCCATTCTCATGGTACATTTCAATCCCAACTGAATGGAAAACGTCCTCTCGAATTCACCTTGTATACAGCGGACAGAATTTGTTAGCATTATCACTCTTGTCTCGAACTCTCGACAAACATTCACCATCCATAATTCTCCAACATCTGTTGTTTTTTTGACCATCTCTCAAATTCCGTAGAGCCTTAATCCCCAAACAACTCTGATCCCAAGTCTTTGATGTCCGTTTGCTCAGGTTTTAACCCGCTGAATCACAATTTTGTAACTGTTTTCTCCAAAGTACATTTATTCGAGAACCTGATAATCTCGCATTTAGACTCTGAAAGATGAAACCACTCCAGGAATTGGGACGGTTACGGCTGCGTTCAACAACCAGCACTGAGCTGACATCAGTTTGACTGTCAGGGGAGTGTTATACCGCTTTCCGATCTGTCCTACTCTATGCATCAGAGACTTGGTCGCAGGTCTTCAAAGACTCTCGGTGCTTGACCATCGGTGCCTCCGATCGGTAATGCTGAAGCACGCCGGATAGTTTTTGGGAAAGTTTACTCCCTCGATTGATCAGCTGGTCCCATTCCATGGATTACGCTGGTCAGGCCACGTACTTCATATGCCAGAGGGCTGTTTGCTTCATATGGCCCTCTTCGCCCAGCCTTTTATTAGGCGGAGACGATCCAAAGACGGCAGCAGTTCGCGACAAAGCACGAAAGCCCTCTCTTGACAACTCAGTCGCTTTGGTGACTGCCTTTTCCCCCGGATAGGGTCCGTGGGGCCTGACAGGTATTGCTGTCACACAGTCATAGCATTCACTGTGTAGGTCTCATTTTCTGCCATAATGGATAGGCAGATCCATTTGTCATCAGGTCATTGGCTGTAACGCGTGGCTCTCATTTCTTTGCTCCCTTTGTCTTCGGTGAACGAAGCTGTAGCACCACCGCACCCTGGTGTACGGTTTGTGAGCTGGAAAAAAAACTGACAAACTGATTTAGTGAAATAGCCAACGCCCCCCGATCCCTCAAATGGCACACAGGACAAACGAGACATGTTGTCAGCCAATCTTCAACCCTGGTTAATTACGAGTGATGGTTTTATCTACTGGTCTTTCAGCTGTATCATCTCTTTTTCCTTTGTGAATCAGCACTACGAAGCTCTGGCTAATCGAGCCGCACAAAACTTCCATGTCGTCGACATATTTAGCTGTTCCCTGGATCAAACTGGTCTGCACGAGTTACGTTTCTTGTGCAACTACACCGGCGGTTTTATGGTAATGGGAGACAGCTTTGCGTCCAGTCTCTTCCAGCAGACCTATCGACGAGTGTTCAACAAAGATGCTCAAGGTCATTTCTTGATGGGATTCGCTGGTCAAATGGAAGTTAAGGTTAGTTCTACCCCTCGTGTACCTGACGCATCTGCATGTCTCGTCTCCTTCTGATTCTTTCTTTTTTTCTCCTTCAAGACCTCAAGAGAACTCAAAGTATCCGGCTGCATTGGACCTTGCTTCTCTGCGAACATCAAGACTAGCAACACGGGTGACCAGGAAATTGGGATCGGGCACACTTCAGTCTGGCGGTTGAATGGCTTCACACCGGGAACCACATTGGCCATCTATTTCGAAGTGGCTGGCTCGGTTTCTGGACCGACTCAGATGCCGCCCGGAGGTCGTGGCTACGTCCAGTTCATTACCCAGTACCAACAAGCTAACGGGCAGCGCAAACTTCGGGTTACCACAGCCTGTCGGAATTGGGTCGACTCTAGCACGCAGTTGCCCCATATGATTTGCGGCTTTGATCAGGAGGCTGCGACCGCTTTGATTGCTCGAATGGCCATGTTCCGTGCTGAAACTGCGGACAGCGCGGATGTCTTACGGTAAGTGCACGTGGACTAACTTTGGCGACTGAGGTTAACCTCCATAGGACTGGCCGATACTCAGTCCCTGAATGGTCGGGTCTCAGGCGCTTGTACTCCATGCTACAAGGGCAGTTAGTTCGAGTATCAGAGGCTCCAGATTGTACACTCTTTTTCACTCAATAACAACCAACCCTCCCTTAACTTTTCTTCACTGTGATAACTCATCCAACGTTTCATCAATTTCGCTACTTACCGGGTTATGTCTCACTGATAGATAACTGTTAGCATCAGCACCTTGCACAGCGAAAAGAATCGAAGAGCCCCAACGCTTTTTCGTGAATTTGTACTCTTGAGGATATGGACGGAGATCTATCTGATTTCTAGATTGAAAACAAACATGCGAATAGATGTCTCAAACACCCTTTCGGCATACCGGTGAAGGAAAGGCTCATGAATGCATCCTTCCTTAGATAGGCTCCCATCTGATGTAATTCTGACATAGAATTCGCACGGACTTTCAGTTATTTCACCTTAATGCGGTCGATTCCCCCGAAAATTTAAAATGGCTCTGTGCTGAATTTATCAACTTGGTACAGATTAGGTCCAGCGGGGTACTTTTGTGACCTGTACCTGAAGTGGAGTTTCACGCCCCGCGAGGCAAATTTTCAGCTTCACAAAATATTTGCACACCCATGTGTCATCTGCAAAACAGTGTCTTTCTCTCCCTGTTTCTGAGCTAGCACATTACTCATGAAAAATCTTCGGCAGTAGCCTTGTGAGTAGTATGTTACGTATAGATAATATATTGCGATACCTCGAATATTTTGCCAACTGAAAAGTCAGGTGGCCTTGTACAGCACATTTCTTTGACGAACACCACCATAAAGAGAGAACTAGATGGATTCAACTAAGCCTCCTGTGAAAATAAAACTAGTCAGTGGATGAAAGCATTCGCCGAGTATATCTCTGTTCACCGTTTAGCCATTTCTTATCTATCGGTTCGGCTTATGGATTCAACTAGTTAAGAATTCCGATTATTTAGAGCAGTTAAGTGATTGTTACTAGCTTTTCACGGTCCTTGTGGAGGATGCGATAAGCACTAAGCTTGTGAGGCCCCGATCGGACTATGCGATCAAGGCTAGCCAGTGGCCACGAGGTGTTTTGATCAAGAGTTAAAAAGAATTGTCGTTAGGTGAAACGACGTGTGATCTAGCGTTCTCCATCTGTGTGATGAGTTCTAATCAGAGCGACATACATATGGGATTTCTTTCCAAGACTACCATCGGGGTATTCAGGTCTCCGTGTTATCGTTGCCGCTTGTAGTCACCCTGTGGTTACATCTCAGGCCGCTGTCGTTGTCACCCTGGTTTCCTCTTCAAGGCGGTTCCTCTCCCATAGCAGCAATGTATGGTATGCGCACGGCCATCTGGAGCTACACCTTCGGAGTTAGGCAAGGAGTGGCGATATGTCTGTCATCAGGGCACGATAAGCGGACTAACCATAAGAAAGAAGAAGGAAGCGTTCAGCTGTAGCACCCTTCCGGTGCCTAGCTGCCGTGCTACCCGAAGGAAGCACGAGGGCTAGGATACTGCCAGGTTGCCCAAGCCTAGACAGGGGGATTCGAGTGGCGGAACTCGAATTCGAACCACGCGCCTTCCGGTCAGTACATTCGCGATCTAACCACTTGGGCCATCTCGCCCCCGGACTAACTATAAACCCTCCTACCTTATTTGGCAGGACTTTCGATTGAGTACTTGACGGACCTGACACCACCGCGTCATCTAAGCATTTCTGAGGGATTTTAAGTTGAGTGAGGACGACTGATTGTTCACTACTTGAGTGCCGGAAACTTTACTATTCTTTCCGTAATGAATTAGTTTCCTGTTGCAACTCAAATAGTTTTAGGGCCCAAAACATGAGTACGAGTAACATTTGAAAGGACATGTTCTCTCATGCACTACTCATAAGGTTGCTGAAAACTCCTAGACAGCCCACGACCGTTTCGCTCTTCCCGGAGCTCATCAGGTAAGCGCAGTCCCCGAGTTTCCATCAACCTTATGCTCTACTTGTTCTACATGTTCTCTAGCTCTATTATCGCTGCCGGTTGCTGCAACCTAGTTCAGACTAGCGTACTCAACCACTTCCTACCTTATGCTCTCGAATGGTTCTCATTTGAAAGTGCATTTCAGCAGTCAAGATATAAAAATACCGGCCTTCGGGTCCATGGTTCGAGTCAACCCTGGCTTTTACGTTGCTCCTGTCTAGGTTTTGGCAGTTGGACTGTACCTCAACCCTCCTAATCTCTTCACCGTTCAGCTGTAGTACCCTTTCGGTGCCTAACTGCCATGCCACCCGAAGGTTGCAAGAGAGGTGGGATACTGCCAGATTGCTCAAGCCTAGATGTTACCTTATCTCTTCAAGTTTTACTAAACCCATCTAGAAATGTATGTAATCCTTAGAAGAATTTTTCGGGCCCGTGTCGCTTTTTGCTCTTCCCCTACTAGTACGCAATCACTTGCTGTTGTTGTGAACAATTGTCTAAGTAATTGTCCAACACGTGGTTCTATGTTGATGATTCGTACATCCATCTGTTTACTCGGATCGATGCTTATCAGCGGGCTTCTTTTTCCATGTCAGTGGTATTTCTTCAACATTCAAATGAAGGTAATGGCTTCGAACCTGCTACCAACACGGACCGACCGATTACCGTATTTTTGGACGACTTGCGTTCAATTGACGTACGCTTTTGACGAAGCTTTCTAGGCACCAATGAAATAACGGTTTGGTTTTGACAGAAGATTCACTCGATGATATTTTTTAAGCAACTGAATATGCTACACCAGCCCGCCTCATATTTCAGCATGACGTCTTTCTGGACACTATTTCGCCAAAGGTTCCACATCAGCATGTGGCAGAGTAATTACGTCCGGAATTAAATCGGACATCTTGCTGGCTCATGAACCTTTCAGTAGCTTACAACTGAAGATTTCATTTATCCGTGTTCAGTGAACCATTTATGTGCATCAAATGCTCAAAAGCCTAACAGCAAGGCAGTGGTGTTTGGAGGGAAATGTAAATTCATTACCATTTCTGCGGAACAAGTCGCCACATGTTCTAACCCCCATCCTGGAGGGCCAGGAGACCTCTACCCATTGACCAATCTGGTATGAGACTCTGTGAGTGTCGCGGGGACACTCCCCAGTATAGCTAAATGGATCGCTGAGGTGCGCAAACCGTCACAGCGCGGTAAGGTCCAGTCTCTTAGTGCTAACTGGTAGCTGCGAGTGTATCGCCGGAACCAACTTACGGTTAAACGTGTGGCTGCCATCTGCAGAGTCCAACACGTCAAACGCGGTTGATATGGACTACGCAGTGCCTTTCTCACCACAAACAACTGCGACAAACAAGAAAACCCGCCGTAGAACGAAGCGGATATGCGAAGTGTGGCCTTGCTATACGTGACTCGCGAGCGGATAATTGGCCGCTTTGGGGGAGGATTAAGTTGTTATCTCTCCCAAATTGTGAAGAATTCGGAAGGCTACCCAAAATTGTCACTATTCGGGGACTTGTCCCCCCTGGGCGAGGTTCATGGGTTTTTTGTCCAGGAGCTCGTTGTGGAAGAGTGAATCCCTTACGAGAGGTAACGTTGGCCCGGTTTCGACTGGTGAGTAATGCCGTCCAATAGCTGTCGTGATCCAAAGGGAGAAGAGGCATTCGTGAGTTCCACCGAAATAATTCAGCCTTTCCGATTCCCTAGTTCGTTTGAGGGTTTGAGGACTCATCACAGAAAAACATACGGGCGGATATACGAAGAGCTTGGTCACAGTAAACGGCTGATTTGACTCCCTAGTTCGAGAGTTTGAGGACTCATCACAGAAAAACATACGGGCGGATATACGAAGAGCTTGGTCACAGTAAACGGCTGATTTGACGTTCGCTGTAATGCAACAACAGGACAACCTGTTTCTTTCTTCTTATCACCAATTTGACGGAACTATTGGTTCGGACACGTACCACCTGATTAGAATGTGACTTGGATGTAAGGGGTAGTCGCATTCCTTTGGCTTGCTGCCCGCCATTTCATTACCTTTCAGGTCAGGGAGATCTGTCAACTACCACCAACGGATGCGTTGCCGGTCAACCCATGTAGTGGTATGGTGCCAGCACACATTTTTCACCCCAAATTTGGATGTATTTTGCAAGTACGACTCGCAGAGAAACAAACCTCCACTGCGTCACAACAGTCGAACCACACAGGCCGTGTTGATTGAAATTTGCGGGCGAAAACTGAACATCTGCGACAGAAATCGGTAAAAAATCTACTGGGGACCTGTTAGGCGGAATTCCACACGGGTCCCGCTTTACCGCTCTCACTCAGGTGCTGCTACGGCCGAGAAGTCCACCCCACGCAAGATTGGCCAAGAATTTGGGACGCTTAGCTGTCAGACATCAAGCCGAGATCTGATTGGTCGAAAGTCGGGACCCAACAGCCAATCATGACCCAGTATTGGCCAAATGCCGGTTGCCAATGGCGCATCCAGAACTCGTCAGAATTTCCAGAAAGTTATTGCCGCCCACGCTACATATACGAAGCGCTGCACGAGTGTTCCTGACTTCGTTTTTGGGCGTTAATGTACCTTGTGCACCTTTGGTGTTTGTTTTGACATGAACGCTGGTTTGGGAGGCTCAGACCGAGAACTAAGCTAAGAAAAACACCGTTACTACAGGACCCGTTTCGAAGTTGTTATTTTCCAACCCATTTCACTGCTTACGTTCACACTAGCGGGGCTCAGGAGAACCGTTGTAATTGGTCATTTTCGTTGTCATACCACTCAGTAGCCCGATCTTCACTGCCGGTCTACTTCATTTCATCAGCCTTGAATAGGTCCGAACGACGAATGGGGACAGTAACGTACAAACAAGGTTTTACTGGTTTGGGTTTTTGCGTACCAATTCCCATGTGTTCTGCTCCAATAACGTCTCACCGTGGTCCCCCATGCTTCTGTACACACCAGTATTCAGGTGTCATCCAATCCAGCTGTATCTCATTGCACTCTCTGATTTGTTCTTTTCCCGTCTAGGTGGTTAGATCGCCAGCTGATTCGGCTATGCCACAAATTCGGCGACTATCGCAAAGACGATCCGGCCTCGTTCCGCTTACCCGACGAGTTCTCCTTTTTCCCTCAGTTCATGTTTCACATGCGTCGATCGCAATTCCTGCAAGTGTTCAACAATAGCCCTGACGAGACGGCCTACTATCGGTGAGTAGTCGCTTGATTTACTGCGTCTGATACATCTCGCCTGTTCCTGTCTAGGCTTTGGCAATATCTCAGCCTTCGCGCTTCCATCGAGTTTTGTTGCAGCTAGGTACCGAAAGGGTGTTGCAGCTAAACGATTAGTGTTCACTATTAACTCACGACGTAAAGCTATCCTTATCACGCACTCTTCCTTTGTGTTGCATGTGCTTTACTGGCGAATCACTCTCACACTGTTCCTGCTGCGTATCTCTCAGACACGTACTAAACAAAGAGGACTGTTCCAATTCACTACTGATGATCCAGCCCTCTTTGACTTCTTTCAATCTGGACGGAACCGAAGAGCCAGTTCTGTTGGATACGAGCAGTTTACAGCCAGAACGAGTTCTACTCATGGACAGTTTCTTCCACATTCTCATCTATCAAGGGGACACAATTGCCAAGTGGCGCAAAGCTGGATATCTGGTAAGTCCGGGGGCTTTTTGTCTGCTTGAGTGGTTGCAAGTAAAAACAGCTGTGTAGGAGTCCCCACCCCTCCTCTTACCAACTAGAAGGACCAAAATCGGTATAGACCAGCTCCTGGATTATCTTGTCAAAGAGCACCTGAGCTTGGGATTTACCATTGTTTCCAAACCTTTCTATCCGTGGAATGTGAACTGTGGGTGTTGCAAGACTTTGTTCCTTCTCTACCAGATTATTTTTCCTTTTGATTTCTCAGCAGGTATCTCAGCCCTCTTTCTTCCTTCAAGGGGCACCGCAGCTAGAAGCAGGAAGGGTGTCACAGCTGCACGATTACTATTTTTAAGTTAAAAAAGGGTGAGATGGTTTAGTGATGGTTAGAGCGCGAATTTACTGACCGAAAGGCCCGTGGTTCGAATCCGACCACCGCCACTCGACTTCCCCTGTCTAGGCTTGGGCAACCTGGCAGTATCCCAGACCTGATGATCTACAATTCCGATGCGGAAACACCAATCACTGGATGCAATTCTCATGTTTTACAGCGACACAGGAGGAGCACTGGTGCTTCACTGCCGTGATCGAAATGTCCGTGGCCGCGTCATCCGTAGATATTGCGGCTAACGGATCTGTCAGTTTCGTAAGAATAGGCCTACAGACATGCCCCCCCCCACCTGTGCTGAGGGGAGAAGAATGGATTGTGGAAGAGAAAGAAGGATGGCAGAGGCAGTGTCCCTTTTCTCTTAACAGTTTTGCCTTGCATTAAGTAAGGCAACCCAGCTAATGGAAAGAAAGAAAACGTTCAGCCGCAGCACCATTTCGGTGCCTAGCTGCCTCGCCACCCGAAGGAAGCACGAGGGCTGGGATACTGCCAGGCTGCCCAAGTCTAGACAGGGGAAGTCGAGTGGCGGTGGTCGGATTCGAACCACGGGCCTTCCGGTCAGTAAATTCGCGCTCTTACCACTTGGGCCATCTCGCCAGCTAATGGAACGACGCGACGGCCGATTGTGTGCGATTCATGTCCGTACATGGGCTGGGATACTGTCAGGGCGTCCAAACGTAGACAAAAGGACGCTCAGGATTCTCACTTAAGGCCTTTACCTCAAAAGCCTAATCTCAGGGCACTGGTGTTTGTCATAGCAGCCTACCTTTTTGAGAGGTAAGTTGGTACCCATGTTCCTACCCTCAACCTGGATTACCTGGTTAGTCAGACCTCTACCTATTGATCAGCCTGATATGAGATGCTGTGTGGGTGTCTCACATACACACCGCACTGTTGATAAATGGGTAGGGAGGCGCACAAACTGTCGTACTGTAGTTAGGTCCAGTCCCCTTGTAACGGTCTCACCAACAGAGGTTTTGTGGGTCAAATGATCTTTGCTCATCAAAAGAGGTTCTATGATTTGTATCGATTTGCACGGGCCACAAGACACTTGTGAGCCTGGTGGGCTGTCGAGGCATTTTCAGCAACCTTATGAGTAGTGGATGACGTCTATATTGCGAGTCCTTTTGTTCGCTTGCTACGTTTCCGTTTGCTACTCCACGTCGAATCTGCATGGGTTTGTGTTCTGTAACCAACCAGACGTTAACCGTCAAATTTTCATTGGAATTACGCTTTATCCCTTCTCTTTGAAAAGGATATGCCTGAATATGCGCACATCAAACAGATTCTCGAAAAACCGCGCCTCGAAGCTGAGGAATTGCTCAAAACCCGCTTCCCCATGCCTCGCTACATTGAAACGGAGCACGACGGAAGTCAGGCGAGATTCCTCTTGTCCAAAGTCAATCCGTCTCTCACACACAACACACTGTATGGGATTGGTCAAGTACGTGAAAAAACTTTGTCAAAAGTACTCTTCTGCTTTGTTTTTAACTGAGAGAGCCATTCACGCTCTTAACCTTATTCTGTGGATGGCAGCGCAGAAGTTTGGTGTTGCTTTTGAGCTACTTTTGAGTAGTACATGTTTGTAGGGTAATATTTCGTTTCACATCCCGTCACGGCCGCAAGCCCATGACATGCGGCAGGAACGTTCCTGCTCCTTACGTTTTCTCTACTTCGTCTGTTATGCCTTCAGATTAACAATGTAAGTTCTGTGAGTCTTGTTCCCTTGATAATCACGCGTTTGGACCAAGCACATTGTCGTGTGGTTTCGGGCTATTTTTACGTGTAACTTTTTTTCTCAGTCGCGAGTCAAACCAGCCAAGCGTGGACACACTCGCCTGCATAGGTATCAAAGTTGCACTGGTTGTACAGTGGTTATGGGCGTGCCTCGAGTGTCTGACCAGTGATACGCGCTGTTGATGCGCGAGTCCATCCTCACACCACAGGACATGAGAACTATTCATACGGGAGTTGTGTGAACGTCTTCGCCCTTTGAGCCATCACAAATATGGTAGATCGGCAGTAAAGCTGCCGATGATGATGATGAAATATGGTAGATGTGCTGGTGAAAGTTCCAAGTTTTTCATGCCTGTTCTCGTTCAGTTCATGGTGTTTGCCTTCGGTTCTGCTGTGTGCCGTTTTTTCTCTGGTTTGTTGGACTTTACAGAGATGTCTTCGTGTTTGGTACTTTCACTCCAGGATGTCTGTGTGGATAAAGGGTATACCTTCCACGACAAAAAGCCTGGAGTTGGTCGAAGAAATGTTTACCTCCCCCCTCCTGAGCGTTTTCCAGCCTTCACTGGTTTTAGCCGTTGAATAATTTTACCCTCCATTAAATGTGCATATACTGGGGAGATTTCTTTGGTTCATTTTCCAACCCGTCACGGGATTAACTCTATCAAAGTCGGAAGCAAAATTTAGTGGCTGTATGGGGAATGTTAGTGATCTGTAACGATATTTCGTCCTGCTAATCTGTGCTGAAAAGTCGAGAGCCATTGCACAACTGTTTTATCCCCATTGGGAATCATCGTCCGTGCACATTCAGCCCTAACGGGATTGCAGTTCTCAGAAGAAAACCTCCATCCGCGAAGTCGTCATTCGAGGAGCCAGCCTGATGTTTTCCCGGATTGAAGAACCCGTCCTTCTATCTGTGCTGAAAAGTCGAGAGCCATTGCACAACTGTTTTATCCCCATTGGGAATCATCGTCCGTGCACATTCAGCCCTAACGGGATTGCAGTTCTCAGAAGAAAACCTCCATCCGCGAAGTCGTCATTCGAGGAGCCAGCCTGATGTTTTCCCGGATTGAAGAACCAGCAGCCCTGTATCCTGTCCAAATGGGTGCTAATCGAACTGCTGATCAGCCGCTCGTGGCCGAACATTTCGGTATTTAAACTGTTAGCTAGGTCCTGGGTTCGGAACTACGTTCTGGAGCTTCGTGACATGCGCGCTGCTGACTCCCACTAAGCAGGATTTGTCGGGGCCCTGACCGATGTTGGTTTGACGCCACGTCATTTTGAATTCAAGTGTAACCAACCGTTGTGATTGCGGTTCAACTAGAACATAAGGTTGACGGAAACTCGGAGACTGTGCCTACTTGATAAGCCCCAAGAAGGGCGTAACCGATCGCGAGCTGCCGAAGGGTTTTCAGCAACCTTGTGAGTAGTTTCCTTTATGAAAATAACCGAAACTAGTCCAAGACCTTTTTTCCGGTCCCACCACCTGGCGATTCGTCAATGACGTATGGGCTAGCCTGTTGTTGAGTGTGAGCTGATCTTGGTCACTCTGCTCAGAACCGATGGAAGTGTTGGAAAACCGTCAAAGTCAGCTCCGTTGATCTGCCACCGATTAAAACACAATGCAACTCTTATTAGCAGATTAAATTCGATTTATCGGTCCGCCTTCTTCAGGTGTCGGTATTTTTCTCGCGACTGGCTCGGCAAACGCTGTCGAAGTCGTTCTGTTGGTTATTTACCTGGCTGTTTATCAGGTTAATTCGTTTTGGATTTTGCTGTCGTTTTCGAAGCTCTCGACTGCCCAGTGAGGTGTTTCGCTTTCTCGCGCTTGCTCCTTTCTTGGAACTGCTTCGTCAGCAGTGGACTCACTAAACGGAAAACCCTGTAGCAGTTAGGATTAGGCACTGTGATTTTGGACTATGTGCTCACTTTTAGATCAGATTTCAAACACTATCCACTGAGATTTCAGCTGTTTCTCAGCACTGCATACAGGGTTAGGACGATCCGCGGCAGCCAATCAAAACAAATCACGTTTCTAGTCAAATCACGGGTTTCCAAGAACTAGTCGGTGGACGTGCGATCCTGTAGCTAACCGGTTTATGAATGCTGGTCGAGGTAATAGGGACAGAGGATATCGCTCACATGGGTAGATTTTTCGGACGCAGTCTACACACTTTCTGACGATACGTTAAGCAAAGCATTGTTTAGAGAGCTACAAATCTTTGGCGTTCGTTCAAATCCACCACAATCGCGTGAGGTCGATATCCTTGCGCGTACGTAGCGACGCCCTGGCGTGATAGGTGACTTGACTCCCCCACCGACGGATCGCACAGTTTTACTCCGGATCATTCTTGCGTGTCACGTGAATGCTTATTCGGTTATCATGCGCTGTTTTTCATTCTACTTTTCAGGATACCGGCAGCGCTGTTCTGACCGATGATGTCTCCTTACAAGGTTTCATGGACCATCTGAAAAAATTGGCTGTGTCAAGTTCGGCGTGATCGCCTACTTCTATTCATCGTCATCCCTATTCTCATCACGAACACATCTAAGTTACAAATGTCTTGTTTCTCCTGCTCTCTGTTCTGGTTTCGCCTTACTTGTTCGTCCATCTTTCCTCGAGTTCAGACTCTGCTTCCTTCTTCACCCATGATGGTTGTTACCCACCGCTGACCTCAGTATGTGAGCGGTGTGCTCCTGTACAGCCCGTATTGTGCTGTCCCTCTGTGTTATTGCTTATGCATCATCCTACATCAGTGTTGAATCCCCCGGACCGCATAAAGCTTTTGAAAGGTCTATCCACTGCTTTCCAGGGGATTGGCATGTTACTTGTAGCGCTCTACAGCTGACTTCACATTATAGGCATCATGCGATAGCGAAATCTCGGCAGAGCAATTTAGCAGTAGTGTGGTTGGTCATTACTTTCCTACGCCTTCCCCCTGTCGGACCTCAACTGACCCACAACCTAAAAGAAGCTTTGGTTCCACAGGTCAAAACAGCCGTCATAATGCGTGTAGAATATGACAGAAATCGTCTGTAAGTCTATAAAAGGCAGCCGGGCATACGAGTTACAACCCATCCCAAGTCGCGCACGGATGATATCGCCATTGCCAAGCTTGGCGAACAGGTCAACATCCCAGGGATCCTCTCGCGTGCTATTTCGCGACGTAACATGTGTGCCCCATAGTTTGACAACTAGGGCATCCGAGCTGTGAAGGTAAGAACTTCCTTACAAATGTCAGTCCTTTGAATCAAGCTTATTTGAGATATTCGTGGATCACAGATCAGTGGCAATCAGTGTTTGTAGAAGAAAATGGCCGTGATACCCATTGAAGTGAGCAAGCTAGCAAAGGATTTCGGCACGGACACACGACCATCACCGCCTTGGTTGGTTGTCAGTGATCCCAAATCAGGGTGTGCAGTGCGGTGCGGGAGAGGAATGCCTTCCCCAATGATGCGCGCGATCAAAGCGGCTTTTTAGTAGTAGCTGTTTCCTGGTTCACGAAACGACTGACTTAACTCCAGGTGATCCCATCTACAGTTGCTCTATTGCTGAACTGTCCCTCCATACCGGCGGGTTTTTCTGAGCCCAAATTGGTTCAGTCGAATGATGCTCCGGAACAGCGGCGCTTTGGAACACGCATGCGATTGGAATGCATATCGAAGGTACTGTAGGGAGAGAACATGATGAAGCAAGGCACACAACCCGACTAGTTGTCGAGTTGCCAATATTCACGATTGTTCTGTGGCGTTTAAACTAAACTCCAGGATGGACCTCTATATGTACCTTGTTAGGGCTAGCGAAATGTATGGAATTCCTATGCCGAATGTACCTGCAAACCCACGAAAAATTCAGTGACCCCAAGAATGAAGTGTCGACCATATCTAGCCCTCAAACACGGCTGGAGATCCGGCAAAATTTCGTTCAGTCGACGTGACCGAACCAGCGCCTAGGCAAACGACAGAATGTTCCAATGTACCGTATCGTCAGAGACAGTTAGATCACTGTCCACACCGATGCTTCACTGCCGCACGACCACAAAGTTTGTCTAGTTATATTTAAAGCTTTGAAGTGGAAAGAGTAGGTGAGGCAGGGGATCTGAAGATGGCCTACAGCAAAGTAGACACCCCTCCGGTCACTCAGTCAGACGTTCCCGAAAGAAGCTAACAGCGCGAACGTCGCTGACACCGACCGATCGCCATTTGCAGTCTCCAAGCCAAGGGTCACGGGGGGCCCACTCTGGAAGGCGGAGCACATCAACAACATGTAGACTTCGTAACTTATTTCACATCCTTCTGCCAGATCATTCGTTGCCCATCTTCCAGGTTGCGCCATTCCCAAGGTGGCACGGAGAAAAAACTCGTCTCGGCAGACGATGTTTCGACATGCATGACACAGAGCCAGGCCACCGCAGTCGATGGTGCCCAGCGTGTTGCGCGACTGAAATACCCACTGCACAACCAAATGTCAGGTTCCTAATTACATTGTACGAATCCATTGACGCAATTATTCCACAGCAGCAACGCTGGTGGTCAAAAACCTGAGAACGCCTCATCATCTGTCCGCAGCAAAATGTTTCGCAACAGCACTAGCTGTAGTTAGTACACGCGACCCCTGAGACCCACGTTCTCTTAGAAGATGCAACGCACCTTATGGGAGATTACCGTATACGGATGATTATTAGAAAGTCTGAAATATCACATTATTATTCGCTCGAAACCGGAGGCAAGCGAAGCACCGAATAAACTGGACTGCGACATAAAGGACAGCATAGGATCCCGTGCAAAATCGCATCCCGTGACCAAGCTGTCTTTTGACAATAGGTTTGAAAGCATTCATTGCAGAGTCCAGCATGGCGGCACGGTAGTAAAACACGGAGTCCTTCGCTAATTGAAGACGACAGACAGATGAAGCAATGTGGTTCGTGGTTTTCAGATGTGACGGTCGGTGGTGCCAAATGCGCAGAGCTCTGGTCAGCCGAGTCGTTTCTTGCGGCATAAAGCAACTGAAATGTACGAAACGATGGGGGGAGGCAGTGAGGCGATATTGCAAATGGGGATGCGGAAACATGGGAAATGATCTGAGATTTCCTGTAAAAAAATGTCAATCGACTGAGCGTCTGTTGTAAATAAAACAGTCAGCATATTTGTTAGATTCTTCAATACTTTGTCACCCACTTGAGACACTACGGGCAATTTGGGTTGGAATGTTGAATCGAATCAGTTAACACCCAAAGACCTCAATGCAATAAAGTCGAATGTGGCGGCTAGTAGTGAATAACTGACTCATCTGTTATAATTTCTTTTGGGTGAATACTGGTAGGTAGAAAGGCAGTAGCGAAATACACGCATTTGCATACTGATTTGGTCTTAACGGGGGATTCAAGTACATCCCAGCTGAATCGATCGTTTGTGATACTCCATCCTCGAATTTATGTGCAAATGAGTGTAGTTCACCAATTTCGTGCAATTCGGGTTCAAGTATAACATGAGGTTCATGGAAGCTCGGGGACTGCACCTACCTGATGAGCTCCAAGAAGGACGAAACCGGTCGAAGAGTTTTCAGCAACCTTACAACTAGCTTCCTTCAAGGAGAAAGAGTTGCTTGGTACTGAAAGCCACATTTCGAACCGACAAAAAGACCGAAGTGGTCGCACACTATTTATACATAGAAAGAAGAGACAGATGATATGTAGGCACTAAACCAATAGCTTCAATCGCAGAAGTGTGAGGTATATGCCAGGAATACCATTCGGAAAGTTGTAATTCAACTGGGGTTGTTGATCACATCCTTCGCACTTCATTGGGACCTTAACATACATATTATTGCGTGGCATTCATTCGACGGTTGTGTTTGAATGGCGTCCAGGATTCTGGCTGGTCCTGTCCTAACGAATGTGGCTTCAGTACCGGGCGTGACATAGCCATAATGTAGTAGGCGTCTGTCTTTTGCCTGTAGCCTTGGAACGAGTGCTTTTTGCTCAGGTAGTGTAGACGGTTGTTGCCCCAGTTGCGAACGTTAGTGTGGAGCGGACTGTATGGTCTCGCTCAGCGAATAGAATAATCACCATGTACGTCAATAGTACGGAGCGAGAGCGCTTCAAGGAAAAAGTTGTGCTGGGAGTGAGAGGTTGTCATAGGACCACACATTACACAGTGCTGTACTACATCCCAGAAATTAGTACTTACATTGATTTCTTACCACATCATGCTACGTACACAATGGAGAGCATTGTGTTTCATGCCAACTTTAGCCTGCTGTAAACAGAGATGAGATGTGCCGACCTACTGACCAGAAGACCCGTGGTTCAAATCCAACCCTGGTATCTCGACTACTTCTCTCTGGGTTCAGATAACCTACTGGTATCTCGGCACTCGTGCAACCTTCGGTGGCGTGGCACCGAAAGGAGGTGCTGCAGCTTGACATCTCGAGTTTGCACGAACTCAGTAATGCTGACATGTCTATTCAACAAACCGTCTTCGAAATTGGTTTCAAGTACACAGGGCGCTAACAGTCTTTAACCATTGTCCCGTCTGGCAGATAGAGTAAATGCATCCGTTTGACGTAGGCCTGCCTTCTCAGTAGCTAGCTCGTCCAGTACAGTCCCTGTGGGCAATCGGGTGGTACATACTGATCTCGATACAGCTCTGTGATTAAGGCCTCATCGTCGACGGCATAACATCCGTATTCGACACTGGTGCTTCGCACTAACTTACTGACCAGAGGTGCTTGGTTCGAAATCAACCGCGATATGTTGACTGCTCCTGTCTAAACTTGGTTCAGACGTCTCCAAATTTGGCCGCTAATCGATGACAACGGTTTTGGTGCCGTCAGTCTTTATCCAGATTGTTTGACTGAACACTTTGAGGCATAGTTACCTCGGAGCAGTAGATAACTTTTGTGCTTTTTTTGTAATATGCTTTCATTTGGAAAAGTGGGGCGGAGCGAAGCGCCAGTGTACTGATATTGGTGTTACTTCCAATAGTGATGACGATAATGCCTTTTCAATCGGTTGCTCGTCTGAAGTCAATCTCCACTGCCACACGGCTGTCTGGTATTCCAAGTGTGGTCGAAGTTCGGACCTCATATTGGCACAACAAAACAGATAGGAATCAGGACCCCGTTGCGTAGGAAGTGTACGTCTCGTGCATCCCTTCTGAAGCATCAGTTTGCTCATGTAGATTATCGACTAAAAACGTTTACGTGACGTGTCTATATATCACAAACATACTGCAAACATCGTTTAGTGTTTTTATCTAATGAAGTCTGCTCCAACAGAAGTGAAAAAGTCATTTGACCCGAATGGTCCGCTCTTCAGAGGGACTATCAGCTATACCGGAAATGATTTAGTAGAGTACGACATGAAAATCGCATAGTAATATTGCGCACCGCACTAGAAAAATCGCTTTTAGGTTACAAAAACTGATTGAAGAAGCTGTGCTGAACCGCNTGGCGTCTGGGAGAAGAATGCGTCTTTATAGTGATGATAACTAAGAAGAGTGAGAGCTTGGTCCAAAAGTACACAGTCAAAGATACAGTGCTAGAACATCACAGGCAACACAGTTGACCACGACGTCAGACCAGAGCATTAGTCCTATCACGGTTCTCGTTGGTCCATGGTTTAGGCCTTTTACACAGAATCTTGAAGTGAGAAAGCGGCCTTTGATACGGCCATCATCTGAGACACCCCGCTGTGAAGAAACGCTACTCACTCAGCCTCTAAGACGGCGTCTTCGATGGGTTTCAAAATGCGGTCTCCCCCTCCATCCAATAAACCCACCGAGCGATGCCCATAAAATCATTTCTCCATTTCAGGAGGGATACCTGGTAAACCAGGTACTACACCAATTTAACTCACCTGTGGAGTCAACAAACGGTCCCAATTAGTTTTCCAAAATGTGTACAGAATACTTGTGTCGAAGCGCTCCTCTTCAGACAGGCGAACGTGAATGACATAACATGATATGACCTAACACGTGGAGGGGGTGGAACACAGGGAACAGGTTAATAAGCTGTGGCAAACAAGCATGTGGAAATGTTACAAACAAAACAATCGTTCATCTGCAACACTCTTGGTGCGTAGCAGCCTTGTCACCCGAAGAAAGCACGAGGGTTGAGGCACTGTCAGGGTGTCTAAGGCTAGACAGGAATAATTGAGATGCTGAAGCTGAAGCGTCATCCAGTAACCACAGTACGGTCATTCTTGCAACTGAAAGGTGTATTGGTAGCTCATACCGTACGACAATTTACTGATTTTCTTTTTTGACTGGTCACTTTCATTGATGACGACTGGTGAAGAAACGCTCGAAACGAAATTTCTCAGTTCGGCTAACAGCTCATGGGATCGGTAAAAGTCGTTCTTGTGTGTGGAGCACTCTTCCCATAGGGTCTTTGCCTTCTTGATCACAAAGACTATTTAACGTCTTTCAATTCATTTTTCAGTCATTATTAATCCGTATCTGTCTGTTTGATTTGCACGGACCAAATCCTCCAAAGAAACTACGTGACACTCCCTGAGCTGAGTGGCGTCACTATAGTGAATCATAAGTTTGCTAGTGAATTTAACTCCACTTCTGAGATTTTCAAACCGATAACAGCCATCTCCATGCAAAACTGATGTGTTCGTAGGAACCTACAATGCATAAAACTTTCTTCGCTGCTCATATCGTCACATTGTGCACATCCTCAAGGTGAAGTACGCTATGGGAAACGGGACTCCTTGGAACGGAACAAGATGGAAGCCATATGTGCTCGCTGAGCACTGACATCCGCATAATGCGAAATCAAATTTCTCGATTCGCTTTTCAAGCAGGGTCTTTTCAGAGGCGCAGCTCGATTGTCTGTGAAATCCAGCCTGGATAAGTACCGACTGATTAAGTTAAATCAGGTCGGAGTGTTACCCCTCTACACGTTCGTTGCTTAGTAAGACCTGTCGCAAGTCTCTAACTTGTTTCTACGCCTATCCCAATAGTTGAACCAGTCGCATATGATTCAGTTTGACGATGCTGACCATATTAGGACAATTCACATTGAGTAGTAGTTCAGATTTCAGTTAGGAATTCTCCCAGGAGTAAAAACATCGTCTTTTTGTACATGAAATAGCTGTCACGTAACTCGACAGAAGCACGAGGACAGAGGTATACCAGTTTACCCAAGCCTAGATAGTAGATGAAGAACCACGCCTGGGTTAGAACCAAAGATCATCTTGTCATTAGTTTTAAGCCCAAACCAATAAACTATCTGAAGAAATAGATTCACCCTAAGGAAAAATCGCAGCACATGAAACTGTCAGGAATAATATCTGCTGAAAAATGAACCAGTGTCCAGGGCACATCCACCAAATAGGCACCAAATTTCTGCTGACCTGATTTGCCCCGTTTTCCTGCAGTAAACGGAAAAGTAAATAACGCTGAAGATCACACCCGCAACAGGCAGCAGAAGGTGTGATGCGGTGGTTGAGCCTCTGGTTAGTACACAACGACTTAGGAGATGAATACACAGATGTGTATTGGTATACAGTCATCTCCTATCTAGACTGGAGCAACCTGGCAGTATCTCACTCTTCGTCCTCCCTTCGAATTGTATGGCAGCTAAGCACAAGGGTGGTACAAATGAATATGCAGATGAACAGACAACAGAACTCCTTCCGTTCAGCTTTTCAGACCACAAACATGCACAAGAGTGCAGTGGTTCCGACCGCTACAGCTTCGTTCGGACAAAAAAATTAAGGAACTGAGAGCGACGCGTTGGAGGCAATGGCCCAATCCGTGCATTGAAAACGAACGGCCCTGTGTGTCCACTATGGTAGGAATTGAGAGCGACGCTATGCAGAGGATAGGTTTGATGCATTAGCTGCGTGGCACAGCCCATATCTGTCAAGGTCGCTCAGCCCTGATTTGTCTCGTCCTATTAACCCCATCCGGAGAAACGGCAGTTATAAAGGCGACTAAGCTGTCTGGTGGGAGCTTTTATGCATCTTTGCTAAGTCATGAAGTGATCGCCCGTGGATCGTCTCCATCTGCTGATACGGGGCTTGGTGAAGACGAACAGTCCTCTGATAAGCCGAATAAGCACTTCTCGCTACTTCTTCGGTCTTTGTTGTGAGCGGAACGTAGCGAACAGCATACAGACTCATCACAAGTTGTAAGGAACACACCTAATACCGGGCCCTGAGCGGCACATTTTGTTATGATATTATTCGAAAACAGCAACCAACAGTCACTCCTAAGGAAATGGCACACTTACGACTTGTTCATCTTCCGGTTTTGCGTTGGATACCATGGCGATCACGGAGGAATAACGACCTCTTTGAGGACATTTCCCCTGAGTTTGTTGGAAGTTGTCCGTCAAGTCGACCGTAAAACTTCCACTCCCATACCTACAAATTCAAAACTGCCTGTAAGGAGTAGCTTTCATAAGCAAACCAAGTTAGTAAAGTAAGTCGGCAACAGTAGCTCACAGCTACAGCTACAGAACTCACTGAAGAGGAAAGCATCTGATGGCACCTGTCGAAAGAAAGTCTTGCAACTTCTTTCGATCACCTATAAGAGCCTGATGAAGAGACCTTGTTGGGACATCAGTTAGAACATAGCAGGTACCCTCCGACAGACAAGAACTCTCTACAGTGAATGGACACCCTGAAAAAAAAAATAACGGTGAAATTTGTGCATACCAGAAATCGTCCCTTTAGACGGAACGAAGTTTGTGATCAAACAATTGTTTACTATCCGCTGCAGTGGTCTTTCCGATAACGAAAATATCCGATTAAAGTAAGCATTTGGTCCGTTGTGGATACCGTTCAGCCATAGCCGTCTAAAGTAAACTGGATTAGTCAAATATGGGAACATACAGTCGGCGGAAAAATAAATAGAAAAGTAGTGACAAAAGAAGAAGAGAAAAAATTAATCGAGCGGCAACGCGCTGAAAGAAACTTCCACCGGTCATTCGACAGAATTTGACTCAGGCTGAAAACGGTGACAGTGTAAGCAAGCAAAGTATCGAAAGAATGGTTACATAATGATTCGGGTTACACATAGTTATCTAAGACCATCCCTAAAAAGTCTGGGAAAATACCATGCCGTGTTTCATTTGCTTTCTTGGTCAACTAGAAAAAGTTATTTTCAAGATCACACTAATATTTATTTGGATAAGCAAACAGCTTCTGATGTACAAGTACAGAGTGACATTCACTATTTTATTATTATTATTATTACTATCGGAGAAAGAAACATCAGTGTTGACGCAGATGCTTTACTGCCATACAATCAAAGTTTATTTAATCATATTGAAGGCATTAAAGTGAAAAAACGTGACGCAAGCGTTCTGAAATATCTATACCCTCGAAAGTCCAAGCAGACGATCCCGAAAGAAACCGAATGTACGAGCGCCGTCGACAACGACTGAATGCCACTTCTCGCGATGTCTTAGGCCAAACGCAGAGTCACGTAAGACCACGCCAAAAAATACCCAAATTTTTCATAATCTCTTTTGCACCATTCTAACAAGCCACATTTGACCCATCTCGCAGTTTTAGCCACTCCAAAGGGGACACGGAGAGCAGTACTCATCTCGGTAGACGATATTCCGATATGTGCAGCGGAGCTGATGGATGAGGTATAACGGTGATACTACTGATGAGGGAGGCATGCGAACAGTATGTTTTCTTCTTGTAAATTCGCTTTGCATCTGTTGAAAATGGAGAGCTGTCGCGGGATTTGTGGAGTCGCTTTGCAGAATTTACCTGGAGTCAGTGCTTGCAACAGTCAGTGAATATCCAGGAGAGTTCAGGAAGACGCTTTCAAGAGAAGATGGATGTTCAGTTTTTGTAAATAAGATGCAAATGAGAGTATTGCCTTCCTGTCCAACAGTCTGTAACTGGTCAGTTGGCATTTTCTAATAAATAACTCCGCAGCGAAGGCCTTCCTCCTTCTACTGGTAGCACTAGGTGTTTTCCACGACCAAAGTACCTAGTGCAAAACAAATTCCTGCGTCTCAGCTGTTTCGACACGAATTCGTCGGAATACTTCTGAGAAATGGTTGGTCGAAAACCTGAAAACGCCCCAAATACTCTTTTCGCAGGGGCCACCCCACAACTATACAACACAGCTCGTATTGTAGCCTGATACGCACGACCACTGAGACCCAGTGATATACTACGGGATTCCGAGGAATCTTCGGCGCTCCTCCAATTATTTCATCAATGTCAGAATCGAATAAAAATAGAGGGGATGGGCGTTTTTGCCGGACTCAAGTTATGTACAGAAGCCCTGAAAGAGCGTGACTATGTGAACCGTAATGCGTTCACACATATCTGGAGGATACTCTGTTGAGAAGTTGGAAGCACTGACCGAGCGACAGAAACAAACGCACAATTCGATTTGAGGAACACCAAGAATGAAGGTCGGCTGTACATGCGACATCAATCTAATACGCGACGGAATGTGAAGATGTGATCGACGTAGTCTCTATCCGGTCGAACTCTCGCTTGGTGATCATCATCATCATCATCGACAGCATGACATCAGTGTTCAACACCGATGCTTCACTGCCGTGATCACGGTTTAAGTTTTCGTACACGCCAGCAAAATAACGAAGAACCAATGACGCCAGGACCTTTGTTAGAAGGTCATTCAAAGTGACGATTTTGTGCTTAATACCTTCAATGCGAGTACCTATTTTGAAGATGACACTATTATTGACCATTTCACAGTCAAAGGGCATCCCTGACTGGAAGTTGCAGGTGACGAACTGAAATGGTAATGTGGTGGAATATTGGTAGTTCCGGTGCATTCACTGGCAACTGATCAGGTGGCTGTTGATCTGTTTGCCGACTTTGGCAATTGACTTGCAGACGTTTCGTCACCCACCCAACAGCGCACTAAAGGTATCTCCTCGAATGGTGACGAAACGTATGGAGGTCGATCGCTAAGCTCAGCGAACAGATCGATAGCCACCTGATCAATTACCAACCGACTGATGTCTAATGAGTGTGTGCCCTGAGCTTGAAGATTTTCTTACTATGTCCCCGCCCATTGCCAGAGAGCTACTGAGATCTTTGATGGCTTCACTGACAGGTTTCCGAGGACCCGTCAAACTAATCAAGTGGAACGTGCGGAAAACACCCATTATGCAGGCCTTCTAGGTCCTTCAAGCTTTCCGGTTTGTATTCATGGATGATGCGTCGAGTTCGGTCGTGGTTGCGAACCCAAGGGATCTGCTGCTCGGCCTCCATGGTTGTACCAGAAATCCAACCCTTAGAAACAGCGTTCTAGATTGTGCCCCACATAGAAGTCCAAGCATTGCGTATTAACTTGAATATATCGCACCAGCGGTGATTAATGTCCCATATTAAGTCAACATGCATGCGTTGGGGAAGTAGGTTGATAAAAATGTTTGATTTCGGAGTCAATGCACTTCGCAACGGTCAAGCGCTGCGTGATAGTTTCGCTCTAACTGGTAAAGCGCAATGAAAAACAGCAGCTGTGAGTACACGCAAGTGCTTCAAGAAGAGCGGCGAGTTGTTGGTTAAGCGCCACAATTGGCCAGAAGAACGAGTAACCTGCCTGTCCAGCAGCGAGGCGAGTTCTGATTAGTCGAAAGTCCGGACTCAACAGCCAATCATGATCCAGCATCTGCCGAGTGCGCTTGCCAATGGCAAGTTTCAGAATGTTTTCGCCGCACGCAAATTGTGTACGACGTGCCTTGAGTGTTTAGTGGTCTAATGCGAGTTGATGAACTTATGTAAAAGGTTAGTGTTTCTAAGGTGCACTTTAGGGGTACTTAGCATCCGAAACCTACCAAAACTACTGCCAATAGCAAAACCAAATCTTCGCTTCTAAATCGAAAAAACCATTGGGACTGTTCCTTTTTAATTGCAATAATCTGGGGCGAATTCGCATTTCTACGGAGAGCTTTGTGAGACGCTAACACAAACAACGAAGCAGCCAGGACCTATCTCGAAAACGAACTTGACTCCCTGAACGAATACCTAGTGCACTCTATCTAGAATCCTGTGGCTACGAAGATTGTCATCCATTTATCTGAAGTTACAATCAAAACCACCGTGGTGTCCATGGTGGACGGGAGTATGATCGACTTCATGGTGGCTACTTGGGCTTCTACCTCCAGAACAAGCACGCCAAAAAATAGCGCAAGTTCTAATTGGCGGTCATAACAAAGTCCTAATGCTAATCTTTTTATGCATAATATTCAAGCGGAAAGGGGAAAAGGGGAAATTTTAGTATTTCTATCATACTTTTCTCTTAAACTGCCGTACACAGTATAATAGTGAAGACAGTATTCAGCTGGTCTTCCCAAGCCTAAAGAGCATATCTGAGGATCGCCTTCCAGAGGAGCGAAAAACTGAGTCATGGCTGTCCTAGAGTGGAGGTAAGAAACATGCTTGAGCTTGTCAACAGATCGACCGGTCTTCAGTTTATGGCCCACATACTAAGAAGTGAGCTGGAAGGTATTCAAAACCCCGGTGTTCAACTAGCCTCTGACAAAAACCTTGTCGATCTGAAATGTGGAAACGANCTTGTCGATCTGAAATATGGAAACGACGACGCTCTCGTATGCCAGAAAGAGAGAGCGCAGGTGTTTTAGGGGCTAATTGGAGAAAGTTATCCCATCATTGTCACTAACATGGATTTGCAGTCACCAAGCGCATCACTTTAAATCAGGGGAGAGACTTGTTTCGAGGTTGCTGGGGTGAGACACCAGTGGCGGTATATCCCCGTATCTCAGGGGGCGCGTATGTCAGGCTACCGTGCAGGCTGCTTCGCTTATAGCCGAGGCTCGACCTGTTTTAGCAGCAGAATTGAAACGTCACTAGTGTTTGACCGTCGCTGTCATAATACTATAGCTCATTTGGGTTGGCGCCGGCGAATCCGCATCTAGGCAATTAGAAAGCGAGTTTTCGGTTGTGCCTAGCACGTGTCCAACAGCAGAAGCTGTGCATTTTAGGCCTTTTATTTCGAACCATCGCTTGCCGAAGAGAGTCTTTTTTGTGCCAATTTTAGAGTGGCGGTTGCAGGGAGGAGGCCGGCCCTGAACCTGGTAGATGGGCGTCAAAAAATTACGAAAACTTTTGGCGGCGTCGGTACCACTGGTCCCCGGGATGGGGACCACATAATCACCACTGCACTTGAAGACGTTCTAAGGTATGCCTCTCGATAGATGTCAATGGCGTTTTATTTTTCAGTTTCTAACCAGATTGCTTGAATGAGCGCTTGAAGGCATGGGCATCTCGGAATGTTTGCAGTCGGCCAGCAATGATCCTTTCCTTGTCCAACTTTATCTTTTCTTCGCATTGATGCTTTCAAATGTCTCCTGGTTGTAGGGCATTAAACATCAACATTGACCGCTGATATCATGCTGTCTATGATGCTGATGTCTCTGGTAACCAGTCACAAACCTGGCAATAGTAGGTCGGAGGTCATACGACTTGCCCGCATTGTTCGCGGACCTCTTGGAAATCCACACAAGCCCAATAAGAATGCAACTTCGGGCAAAAACCACTCAAACCCCGCCATTTCGAAAGTCTGCCAGCCAAATAAATTGGAAAAGCGGCCTCCTGCAAACACGAACTAATAAGAGTGCCGCCAAAAGGAAAACTCCTGGTAGGTGCCATCCAATGCGCAAGCCACCTGACAGGGACTAACTGAGACACATTGCCAGCAAAATTACCCCCGAAAACCCAAGAAACCAAACAAGAGAATGTTCACCCCAAATCTGCCGACAACAACTACTTCAGGTGCCGAAAAATTGGTATTGCATGGTGTGCCTGCAGCAGTCATCTTATTTTTCAGCTCAGCGGTAAAATTTACGTTCTCCCGTGGCAAAAGACGCCACATGAACCGGACTATCAGGGGGCGAAACCTCCCTGTAAGCCATGAACAATTCTCGGAATCTTCAAGGCAGGAAGCAGACGTGTACGTCACAGA